CTGTAAAGGCCAATATTTAGGGTTGAGTAATAAGTGGACTTAGGCAACATGTCCTCCATTCCTGTCTCAACCCCAAGAATCCTCTTTGTGCTATGGTTAGAAAAGGATCCTTAACTTTCACAGAATGCTTGAGAAACTCCTTAACTTGTAGTTGAGGCTATATTGCCCAGTCTCCTTATAGCTGATTGAGGCCATGTGACTAAGTTGTTGCTACTGGAATGTGAGAAGTGATGCATGCAATGTCTGCTTCATTTGCTGCTTTAGAAGAAATTTCTGTACCTGGACTTTGATTCTGTTTTACAGCTGATTGGAATAGCACCCATGTAAGGCTGATGTGTCTCTGACTGGAGCAGAGCTGCTCACAGACCTGGAGCAGTCATCTTGGATTGTTTTTGAGCAAGAAATAAATTTGATTTTTTCTTAAGCCACTGTGCTTTTGGGAGAGGTTCTTTGCAGTAGCTGCTTAGTCTGCACTGACTAATGCATACTTCATCCAGATGATTCTCAAGCACACATTTGTATAGCAGTTGTGAACTGAAGTTGCAAAGTTTATGAATGATTTACTTAGGAAAAAACATTTAACAGGTTTAAAATTACTCTTATGATGTCACTCATGTATTTGCATTCCTGTGATACTCTCTTGGATGTAAATAAGTAGACAAATCAAGATATTTAGAATTCTTGTAATAAACAAATTGAGTACTGTACATTTAAAACATGACATGACAATTTAAATCTCATACAGACCACCGACAGTTTTTGTGTTTCGTTTGAAACTGGTAACCAAAGGGTTAATGAGACTAACAAGCACAGCTGCAGACCTTTTTTTTTGTTTTTAAATATTCCTAACTCTCCTCCTTGGAGGCAGATATGAGGCTTGCTCTCCTTGCAAGATATGGAGGGGAGGCAGATATGAGGCTTGCTCTCCTTGCATCTCATCTCTTTGTCTCCTTGTTTGCCTCTCAAATAAACCCTTTCCTTGCTGCATACATGATGTCTCAGTAATTGGCTTTGCTGTGTGTTGGGTATACAAACTTGGGTTCAGTTACAATGTCTCAGTGACTGGCTTTGCTGTGTGTTGGGCATATAAACTTGGGGCAGTTATAAATTTGGTGAGCCAACCAGGAGCTCTTTGCCTGTGGTTTGTTGGCCCCTAGTCAGTAATAGGAGTCTGGTGCTGCCTAGGACCTCTGTTCTAGGGACCATCCCCGGAGCCCCACCGCGACAGGGTACCATCGACTTTTGGTGCTTAATTTAACTCTTGTGGCAAGGAAACCATTTTTGGTTTGGACAGATGTCTCTTGGTAGGTGCTTCATGTGCCATGCTCAGCCTGTGAGCTTATTTCTTCCTTTCATTTTTTTTTGGCTCTCTTAGATTATCTTTCTCCCATTTGATTACTTCCAAATGGGGGTATTGGTTCTCATAGCCATCTTTTCTTATTTAAGGAAAGGCTGATTAGAAGCCATTTGGTTTAGTTGGTGAAGACAACTTTGAGGGGAAGAACCAGTGCTCACAGAGGTACTATGGACTTTATTTGGTTTGTTTGTTGCTGCAGATTTTGGTATCTTTGGACAAAACTGGCCATGTTCTAACTGGAAAATGGAAAATGACAATGTGAATCTCACATGCAGACCTTTGGGCTGTATTCTCCAAAATTGGGCAATGTTTAGTTATGAATCCATGAAAAGGAAAAAAATCACCTCTTTTTGTAACACTGCTTGGCCACAATATTTATTAGACTTCAGAGAAAAATGATGAACAGATCCATAAATTATAATACCATCTTTCAGTTAGATTTGTTTTTTTTTTAATTATTATTTTTTTAAAGTAATCTCTATACCCAAAGTGGAGATCGAATTCACAACCCTGAGATTAAGAGCATGCTCTACCAACCGAGCCAGCCAAGTGCCCCTAGATTTTTTTTTATAAAAGGAAGATATTGGGCCTTTAGTGAAGATTTTGTTTGTATCTTATTTGTGTATTTGTATGTGTGTCCATGTATGTTGTAAATGTGAGATATTTTCTATCCCTCCAGATGGTATTGCTAAAATTAATTTGTAAAAAAACTCAAGTTAGTTGGTTCTTAGGTGAACACTTGTATGAATTGGGCATTCTAAAATCCAAAATGGAAAACTAACCCAAGTGGTTTTCAAGTCCATGTGATCTGGGAAAATATTCAGTATTAAAGATAATTTAAGGTTGTTGGTTTAATTAAAATAGGCATGTCTTTAGAGTTGTCAGCATTAGATGTAGAAGTTTTGTTCTGCCTGTGTTTACCAGAAGTGAGGTAGGCTCATGTTATTTCTGTTGGAAAATTTGTCAGTAAAGGAGAAAAAAAGCCTTAGAAAGAATTCCAATAAATATAATTAAGACTACTGGAAACAATTCTGTATGCAGGGAAAATGAGACTCGTTATTTAAAAAGGAAAATCCTGGGACAAAATCTGAATGTAAAAAGGAAAGTTGTAGAAGGTTTGTGAGAAGGGAATCTTTGGGAAGGAATTTTGTACACAGTTGGGATTAAGATTATGGAGATTAGTATGTAAAAAAAAGTTCATTAGCAAGTGGTCAACATGTGGGGAAGAGAAGGAAGAGAGGAGAGCAAGATTAGGCAGAAGTTGAGCATTGATAGAGCATCAACAGAAGCCTTAGCTGATTTCTAAGTTCCGAAAGTTGGACTGCCCTTAGAACCTAACATCCTGAATTGTGGCAAAAGGGTGGACTTTTATACCCACATATTGAACAGTCAGTGGATGTGACCACCTGGGAAGAGAGCATGCTCTTGGCAAGGCAGCTGTCTTCAGTCAATGCAATCCCCAGTAGCCTCCGAGAGGTGAGAACTGTTGCCAGCGTTCCTGCCCTGAGAGCCTTCTTTCCTGATGGAGATTCTGATCCGCACATCGCAGTATCCACGACAAGAGCTCCCAATCCATGCAGTGCCCTGGTGTCCTTGTCTTACGAAGTATATATCAACATGGGAGGTGATAGGAAAAAAGGAGGGACTGCAAAAATTTTTTTAAAAATTTTACTGAAATGAATGAGTTTTAATATCAGAAGTACCCCAGTATAAGATTAGAATTGGGGGGCGCCTGGGTGGCTCAGTCGGTTAAGCGTCTTCCTTGTGCTCACTCTCTTTGTCAAATAAATAAAATCTTAAAAAAAATTGGAATTTGGTTTTTCTCTCTGTTAAAAATAGCAGTTTCTTAGATTATTTGTCTAAATTGTAACCAAGGTTTTTATCTTTAATCTGCATAGAAAAAACCCTCTGTATTTGCCTTTAGAATCTCTTATTGCCACCTTGGCTAAATAGATAATTAAATACTAAGTTTTGTAACGATCTGTAATGCTATTTAAGTGTGTTCTTTAAAACCTTCTGATATTTCTGACAGACTTCCCAAATTCAACTTCTAAGTGAAGTCTTTTTTGACTAATGAGGCTAATTTGATATATCAAATTACGTGGGGAACATTGTCAAATAAATGATAGTAAACCTTCTTGGGTTATATTGTATAGGTGAATGCAATAGCTGTTCCAGAAATTATATAAAATTCCTAAGGTTTTGCTATATCCTCATATGATGTCATCACTTATAATTCTTATTATTGAAGTGTGTGTCACAGAATTTCCTTGTCAATTGCATTGTAATGACAAATACCTGATACCTTTAAAATCCTTAAACTAAACCAGGAATTTCCAGAACTAATGGGAAAACTGCACTATTTTTGGTGGAAATGAGGGTGATTTTAGAGAGAAGTTATGTTTCAGTAGTACACATTGGTGGATGTTAGATTCCAGTTCTGATGAACTGTCTTTAAGTATTAGTTGTTTTTCTGTAAAACTGGTCTATATCCTGAATTCTTCTAGTTTTCTCAGATATCTGGCCAAGACTTTACAAACTGAGGTTTCTAATTTTCTCCTTTTCTCTTGACTTGGAATCATTGAGAATTAAAACTTCCTTTTTTCCCTGAAGCCCTGCAACCTGGAGCTAGACACCTTGAGATAAACTTCAGAGAAACTTGCCACAATAGCCCATGCCTGTTGCTGTATGGGCCACTCAAAGATCACCAGGGACATACAGATCATTGAACAATTTTATTCCAGCTGTCTTCATTTGACGGATCTGCTATTGGAAAATCCAGACCTTATGATGTTCACAGAACTAGTTTTATGGACCAATAATAAAGAAGAGCGCTGGATGCAGTGGTGACCCATCAGTTATTATGCATTGCCAAGATTACCAGAAATCAGACTGCTTGATTGCCCAAGGGAACAGGAGGGCACCTCAAGCTGCCAAGTTGGCAGCCCATACAAAGACTCCAAAACCCTCTGTAATGGCTTTAGTACCAGACATAGACTTAACTAAATATCAACCCCAGTATTCCACTGAAAACCTAAGAAGAGCTGAAGAATGGGCTTTTGGACATTACTGGCACTAGCTAGAGCCAGCTGGAAATACAGTGAACAAGGGATAATCCTTATCCCAGAACATCTTGTGGAAAAAACAATTAGTTGTATTCACCAAAGCACCCCAGATGGGTGAGATGTTACTTTCCGGTGGATCCAGAAGCATATTGTCAGTCCTAGTCTTCAGAGAACTGTCAAAAAGATAGTAAAAAAAATCTGACATTTGTGCTAAAAACAATCCTGAGACTGGGCTCCCACCAGTTCTAGAAGGTATACCACTTAGAGGCACCAGACCACGCAGACCCCAATCAACTGGGAAAATGGACAAAAATGAACCATATGCTTAGAAGAACTTAGGCAAAAATTTACAAAGAAACTAATTTAACTTGGGGGGAAAAACCCCTTGCTGGTTGCCCTGCTTTGAGTAAGTGCCCCTAGCAATAAGCTTGATTTAAGCCCCTATGAAATATTCTATGGAAGACCCTTTTTACACGCTTTTCATGACTTAGGAGTTCCTGATGGGGCTCATGTTAGGGAATTGGATGTTCAATCTTTGGGAAATACTTAACTGCTATACATAAGTTTCCTTCCAACAGGTTGATGTGTACCCCACAGACGTGCCCTTACACTCACTGAATCCTGAAGACTTGGTGTTATTAAAGACCTGGAAGAGCAAGCATCCAGAGGACCAACTCCAACCTCTTTGGACAGGACCTTCTGTGGTCCTGTTGACCACCCATTCTTCAGTGAAACTAAAGGGAGTTAAGCCATGGATTCACCACACTCAGATGAAGCTGGTTCCATAAGAATCCACAGGTTCCCTATACCCTGTCAGCAAGGAGAGCATCAAAAAGAATCCTGCTTGGATCAGTGAGCCTCTGATGGACCTAAAACTAGGAGAGCTCGTCCAAAGAAATCAATCAATACTTAGCGTTTTTCTATAGTTGGCAGCCTCTCAAGCTTGAAAAGATAATCTACCATTAGGATTTTGCCAACGTTGGCCAAGGCTAACAGTCTTTCTCACTGTTGGATATGTCATTCTGACCCTGGTTCAGAGTACAACCGCAGCAACCCAGTAGTAATGCCTGTAACCTTTTCTTGGTCTAATTTGATGTACTCCGTAAGTTTAGAGTCAGGTTAATCAAGTCATCCAATTAACCATACTTCTTGGTTTCAAATGATATCTTCAGTGATGCTGCAGAATGAAAGTACTGATCCTCCTGAATTAACAGGAGTGCTATGTGCATCCTCAGGTTACATTTTGTTTGTAGATATGAATACTTTACTAGGGGAATGAGAGTACAAAAATCTTGGTAATGTAGAATGCTGTGTTTCAGTTTGTATGTTGGAACTAAAGAATATTTCTAAACGAGTGCAGAAAGTTCTAGTCTTTTAACTCCGATCTTCTCTCCATTTCAGCTAGAAGTAACTAGAGCGGTCACGGTCCCAATTCCCTCAAGAATGAGGAATGATCAAAAGACAGTGGGGATTGAAACAGATGACCAAAGATTAATAGGACTAATAAGTGCAGCTGCAGCTTTTTACCCAGACTTTTTTTTTATGTTTGCCTTGAAACATCTGTCTCCTTCTTAGGGGAGGCAGATTTGAGGCTTGCTCTCCCATCTCCTTGTCTCTTTGTCTGACTGCCTCTCCAATAAACCCTTTCCTTGATGCATACTGAGTGTCTCAGTGATTGGCTTTGCTGCGCTTTGGGCATAGAACTTGTTTGGCTACCCATGGGGTCAATTATTTGTTGTCTGATCAACATATATATCACGTTTATTTCCACCCCTGGTACCTATTCATTTGACAGTGAGATAATGTGCACTGAATAAACCACAGGACATTTACATATCAGATGAGTGGAGCAACAATCACTGAGAATTTTCTCTTTAACTAGCATCTTCTAGTGGAAAATCAAGGTAAATTGCAGGGAGGGTAACTGTCCTCTTTCTACTTAATAGTGATTCCATAATTTTCCATGCTCTTTCCTCTTCATTAGTGTACAAGTAAAATTAATATATTTTAAATGGTGACTTTATCCATGAGGCTGTATAAGAAACTGCAGTGTTTGGATTAAAAAACCAAAACCTCAAACTTAATGTAGCTTTGGAATTAGAAAACATTATAGACTAATTGGTTTTTTAAAAATTCTTAAGCTACATCTGTCACATAATAATTCTACCTAATTTATTTGGGGAATCATAACATTCAGTTGACTAAAGTATCATTTTAAACAAATGGGAGTGTTTGATTTATTTGTATTGATTATGGTTCTCAAACGTTAGCTATCTGACTCAGAGACTGGATAAAACATTGCCAAGTTCTACTGCCAGTGTTCCTGATTCAGTAGGTCTGGGCGGGGTGCAAGAATTTTTATTTCTAACAAATTCCAAGGTGACTGTGAAGCTGCTTCTGCTGCTCCTACAACCAGACCTTGATTAATCACGGATAGAGGTTAGGTGATGTCTTTTCAAACTTAAAGAAGAATACATAGAAAAATATAACCTGATCCCATTATGCTGCTCTAACAAATACTAAGTGATTTGTCGCAACACTTCAGACCCCCCTCTTTTTAAGAAATAAAACACCGCAGATGCAGTTAAATGTGTATACCACCCTCCACCATCAGACTCCTCTCCATCTCTTCCTGAAAAGTAACCATTCCAGAATGTAATCATCCCCATGTTAGATTCTTGCTGCCTGTCTATATATATGTCCCAAAAGTAAAATGTTTTGCATATTTTTAATTGTGTTTAAGTGATAGGACATGTATCTTTTTTGTGCTTCTTAAATTGTTTCTGAGATTTGTGCATGGTATATATTCCTTCACAGTCATACATTTATAACTGCAGTGTAATTTTTTTTTTAAAGATTTATTTATTTATTTGAGAGAGCGAGAATGAGAGAAAGTACATGAGAGGGGGGAGGGCCAGAGGGAGAAGCAGGCTCCTCGCTGAGCAGGGAGCCCGATGCGGGACTCGATCCCGGGACTCCAGGATCATGACCTGAGCCGAAGGCAGTTGCATAACCAACTGAGCCATCCAGGCGCCCTGCAGTGTAATTTTTAATTACATAAATATACCACATTTATTTTATCCATTCTTCCACTGATGGGCATGTAAGTTTGTGACAGTCACTCATTGTTACATAATTGATTGCCATTCCTTATTTACCTTTTCCTTGCTGTTAAGCCCCCATGTTCTGTGAGTACTTCCTCTCTCGTATATGTAGGAGAGAGAGCTTCTTTCCATTCCCAAGGGAATGAGTATTTGTCTGAGCCAGTCACAGTAATTTCTTCCTTTACCAGTGATTGGTTTTGGCATGAGTATGTAGTACAGTCCTGCTCTAATATATGTAAAGAGAAATCTGGGAGAGACTTTAGGGAAAGATTTTTCTCCCTGGGTAAGAAGCAGCATGAGGAGGGGCGCCTAGTTGGTTAAGCATCTGCCTTCGGCTCGCATAGTGATCCCGGAGTCCTGGGATTGAGCCCCTTTTCAGGCTCCCTGCTCAGTGGAGAGTCTGCTTCTTCCTCTCCCTCTGCCCCTCCCCCTGCTTTCTCTCTCTCTTGCTCACTATCAAATAAATAAAATCTTTTTTTTTCTTTCATTAAAGAGGCATGAAGATAAATCCTCCAGCTTTGGATATAGTTGTGTAAGGACAGAATGGTTGTGGCAACAGCAATTCCTTGAGACTCTGAGGGGAAAAATCTGAGAGGCTGGGTTTTTGGTCATGCAATTATCCTAGAACCACCCATTTTTCCAACTTTTTTTATGTGAAATTTTCTTCTAGTGTTCTGGTATTTACAAACCAAAGTATCCTGTACAAGGTAGCTAACATTTAAGAAGAAACAAAAAACAATACTGCAATAAAGATTCTTGAGTTTTCTCCTGTGTCTGAGTGCAAAAGTTTCTCTAGGATAGATGCATTGATAGAAGTGGAATTTTACAGCTGTAGAGTATGTTCAAATTCACTTTTAGTAGATATCAAATTGCTTCCCAAAATGATTGTACCTATAACATATGCTCCCATCAGCAATGTGCAGTAGTTTCTACTTCTCTACATTAGATCTTTGCTTAACACATCTTGTCAGGTATTTTTGTCTATTAATGTCTTGGTGCATTATCTGTGTTAGTAATTATGTTACTTTTCAACCAGCTGTCCTCTTTTTTTTTTTTTTTAAGGTTTATTTGTTATTTTAGAGAGCGAGAGAGGGAGAGCACTTGAGCAGTGGGAGGGCAGAGGGAGAGAGAGAAGCAGACTCCCCGCCCAATCTCACAACCCTGAGATCACTACCTGAGCCGAAACCAAGAGTTGGTTGCTCAACCGGCTGAGCCACCCAGGGGCCCCTGTCCCCTTCAGATCATTTGTATAGTTGTCTATGCAGTATTGGAGTTTTTTCTGTATTGATAAATATGTTTTATATATTCTGGGTACTGATCTTTAATATGCATTGTTTACATATACACATTGCAAAGATCTTCTAGTTTATGGCTTGTAATATGCTTTGTCTATGGTGTTCTTTATTGTAAAGTAATATTTAAAAAATTAAAATTTTCTTTAAAGGTTTGTGCTTTCTGTGTCTTATCTGAAAAATCTTTCCCTAAAGTCCTAATATTTTCCTAAATTTTCTTCTAAAACTTGTAAAGAATTTTACTCTTCCCATTTAGGTCTTTATTCCTTTTGGAGTTGATTTTTGTGTATGGTGGGAGGAAGAACCGCTTATTCACAATCAGTATTGATTTTCTTTCTGAATTCTATTCTGCCCTCTTGTGTATTTGTCTGTTCCTGTGCCAGTTCTGTATTATTTTTGTTAATGTAACTTTATAAATAAGTCTTTGTTAACTTGCTAATCTTTCAAATTGTATTATTGTCTTTGGGTTTTTGCTCTTCATGTGAATTTTTGGATAAGCTTGTGCAGTCTTAACCAAAACAAATAGCTACTAGGATTTTAATTGACACTGAATTAAATTTGTACACTTGGGAAGACTTTATATACCATGTATCTCCTCCAAGTAGGTGGTATCTCTCTAGTTTTTGTAGTTCTTGACTGTCCTTCAGTAATATCTTACATATTTCTTTTTTTTAATGGCCTTGTTCTGTTTATTTCTAGAAGCCTTATAATTTTTGTTAATTACATTTTCTAACTGGTTTTCACTGAAGAAAATTTTATTTTTTATTTATTTTTTATTTTTTAAAGATTTTATTTATTTGACAGAGA